TATAAACTATGCTATAAACAAAAAATTGTAGAATTACTTACCGAGTGTGCACCGTTGGACCACGCCATTGCTTAAGCTTGTTTTTGTCGCGGAGCGGCGCACCGAGCGGCCGCATTTTCTGATAAGTTATTTTTCTGCGAAAAATTTGCTGAACTTTGGAGACATCATTAATAGAAATAATTTTTATGGCCATTGAATAAGAAATGTTTTTTTCACAAGAAATGTATAAAATTACAGTACTGTATTAGACTTACAGTACCTAATTTATATACTGTACAGACGATAGTAAACTCAACTTACCCGCCTAAACTCTCTGTAGCTTGTAAGTAGTTCAGCTGCTTGTCCACTATTGGTCCAGATTCTACCAATCCTATCGCAACACGAGTCAGCGATGACGTTTTACCACATTTTACGAGTCTCTTTTAGCGTCTTTATACGAATATGGTCACAATTTTTTTGCTGTGATATACGAATCCGCATTATATGAACTCGCGTTATAGGGGGTCTACTGTATATATATAGATTATAAAATATTTATGTGATTGACTATTATTTTTATTTAGTTGATTGTTTAGTGATCTATTAATTTATATTTCAAGTGATTTGGGGCAAATAAATTTTATTTGATAGTATTTTATATTCTCAGCATTGTATGATTGTTCTATTTATTTATATACATGAATTCCTTATCACTCAATTTCATCATTTAGAACAAAATTTCAACTATTGACAATAAAGACTACCAATCAATTACTAGAACTTGGTTTTTTTTTTTGCATTATAGATGCTATAATATTAGTTTTGCATTAGGTCAGATTTATTTAAAACCTCCCAGAAAATTGAAATTGAAATGTATATATTTTGTATTTTTTGAGTCATTAAAATCTTTGATCTATTGATAAATTTAGACTTATTTTTAGTTCATTGGATTTTTTTATGGCAGTCATGGATTGTACTCTCATTGTTAAGTATTATTGTTGTAGGTAATTTACTTAATATGACTATTTAAACATTGAAAACAAAAATATAAAGGATATTTTACTTTATAAAAAATTGTTATAAATCATTAACTAGATGAAATTGGAGTAATAAAACTTAAATTTTTGTCAATTATCATTCATTTCTTCATTTATATTTCTTTAATATTTATTAATAAAACAATAGTAATTCATAATTAGATTAAATATAGTATAACAACAAGTAGGTCTTCAAAATGCAAAAGCCTGTAACAATTTTTCTCCTGTACATATGCTAACTCTAGTAGATTATAATGAGCAGCTTAAGTATGGCTTATGACTACCATGTTGTGTTTCTTACAAAGGAAGATTAAGTTATGTAAAGAAGTAACAAATACCGTTTTCTTTTATTATACACTAGCAGATAAGCCTAGCGTTGCTTGGGCAAAAAGTAACAATAGCGAAGATTAAGATTATTACATTACAGCCAATCTTACCTGTTTTCACAGAATGCAAGAATTAGGTTCCCTGTTTCCAGACTAATTAGAAAATTTTTAGATGGGTCTAAAATTATGTTTGATTTAATGCAAAAAACCGCATCTGCACCTGTAAATCTTGCACGTTGCTTTCTCTTAACACTTCCATTGTTGAAGCCTTAATCCTGTTCCTTTCCCTGTGGGGGGATTCCGAAAAATCCCTTGTTAGTATGCGTTCTTGTGATGTACCCTAACTGTGTACCAAATTTTAAGTTTCAACTCCATTTCATCGTGAAATTTCATCGTGAAATGTTTTGGCAGTCGGCCTATGAGTGAGGACATGTAGCGAGCTCTCGTCGGATTCCACTAAGTTGGAAAATGACTGAACAACGTGAGCAGCGATATTACATCAAATTTTGCCAAAAACCTTGGTGATACCTGAGTGTAAACCATTCGCAAGATTCAGCAGGCTTTCGGGGACGATCCTCGAGGCCAAAAAAAGCGCGGCAGGCCCGCAGAAATATCAAGGTCATGTTGAGAGTTTTTTTGACTCTCGTGGGGTGGTGTATCGTGAGTATGCACCACGAGGCCAAACCATCGCAAAGGAGTACTACCAGGAGGTCCTTCGTCATCTTTCTGATGCTGTGCGACGCAAACGACCGGATCTGTGGTCGATCAAAACCTGGCAGCTCCATCTTGATAACGCATCCACCTATTCTGCGCATCTGATTCAGGCTTTTGTTGCCAAACACAACACTCCTGTGGTTTGTCACGCTCCGTACTCTCACCACATGGCTTCGTGTGACTTTTGGCTATTTCCCAAGCTGAAAATGCTGCTAAAAGGAACCTGATTTTAGTCGAGAGAAGACATTGTGCAGAATGCGATGAACCAGCTGATGGCCATTCCAAAAGATGCGTTCCAGTAGTGTTTCCAGCAATGGCAGGAATGCTGGGAGAAGTGTATACACTACCAAGGAGACTAGTTTGAAGGGGATTAGGGTTTTGTACCTCAAAATCAATAAATGTATTTTNGTGCGGTGTGTACAGCACACTGGCTGCCAAATCCCGAGGGTGCCGATACCGGTCAATTTCAAATGCCTCTTTTGTCGCATCACTAATATACCTCAAAAGACGCGACAGGGTTCTTGTAAATTTTAAACGTTTCTCACCATAGCTGTAAAAGTCTAAATTTGCTAAACTTAATAGATTGTCCGTCGTTTGTTTTCTAACTACAGTAATTCGTTTTAGGACCAGGTGTTGTCCACGGAAATTTCCAAAATTTACAACTTTTCAGTTACTCTCGTTGAACTGGAAAAATGTCTGTCTTTATTACATCTAATATTTCGAAGAAATCAGTCCCATTGTACTCGGCTAAAGATTGGTTCAGTTAGGCTTTTGTTTAAGTAAAATTTCGGCTCTTTCATCAGGGTTTTGTTTATGTCCCCAATTCCTTAATCGCTTAATTATTTAACTACTACTTATTTTATTTCGATTTATTCTTATTTTATTTTCGACTTATTTCTACTTCTTAAGTAGAAATAAGTCTACTTCTTATTTCTACTTCTTAAGTAGAAATAAGTCGAAACCAGTTACTTTGTACTCGAATATTTGTAATCTCAGGAAAAAGTGGAAAGAAATTTTTATGACAAACGGATATATAAATCGTAAATTTAAGCAAAATAAATTCTAGAGCTTTTTCTGTACCTCGTGCATCTCTCTCATTTATTAAATTTAGTTGTAAATGATGCTACCAAAGTAACAGTTAATTTTTTAACATTATACAAGAATTGTACACGTTTTTTTTCATCCCCTTAGAGATGGGATATACGAAATCGTAATGTCACTGTAACATTGAAATCCGTGAGTAATATAAAATCGGAGAACGGAATAAAAATATCAAATATTTTAATGAATTTTTTAAACTCCTGTCAACTATACAGAAAACTATCATAAAAACATACAGGCAAATTCTTATCGGTCGGGTTAAGTTATAAATTTACTGATGATTCACGTAATCGGACGAGGGCGGCCAAATATCTAGCAGGCGGGCGGCTAACAGCCCGGAACCGGTCCCGGATAGAATTGGATGCGTTATACGTGTAGCATCCATCCGAGGTCCTAGGCTTCCACCGGCTAAACCGAGTGAGGTTGGTGCTCTGTAAAGCGCATGCGCGAATCTGGCTTTTTGGATGCTGACAATACAGCGTTTCCACTCTGCTATTCCGCCACTAATATTCGAATATAAAATAGCAATCTTATCTTTTTTTTCACATGTAGTATAGAAATTTGTAATAAGAAACATAATGCGGTTATAATAAAATATTGTGCGATTATTTTCATATAATTAAAATATTTATTTTTTAGAAAATACAAGGGAACCGGCGCATCCACCGCTTCTAATGACGGCACGCCACTGTAAATAATAAATAAAGAAAATGCTTCGTCGAATTTAAGCAACGGTCTTGCTAAGTTTCTTCCACGCTGGAGAAGATGGAGACTTCCGTCCTGCGCGTGCATATACTGGCTTCACTTGATTTCAGAAGCAGCCGCTCCAATATTACAGCTCCATGATTAAAGAAGCAGCCGCTCCAATATTACAGCTCCATGATTAAGAGTGCCTCCTTTTTTATCAAGACCATTAAGGGTTAGGTCAGATTCACAGTGGGGGCGGCCGGATGACGAGGGACGGGGCGCAACAAATCCGGACGGACAACCCCCCGAAAAATTTCTACGATTTTTCGACCTGTCCGGATTCGATCCCGGGTTCCTCAGAGCGGTAGACTGTCGCCTAAACCAGTGTTCCGCAACCGGTGTGCCGCGGCACACTGGTGTGCCGTCACATGGTGAAAGGTGTGACGTGAACTTTTACATATTCTGTTAATTTCAAGTTTTATTTATATATTTTTATCACAGTTGTTGTGTTTCTTATGCTTGTATTTCATTTTCTGCTGCAGCACTGATGAAATAAGATGATGTTTGTTTATTTTTACAAGCCACGCATTTTTATGTATTCTAAGAAATTATATGTAAAATTAATTTGCTCACAGGTAGGTGTTGATGTCTGTTTAATAACAATAATAATAGGTTAGTGGCATTACGTAATTCTATTAATAGTAGAATATACGTTTTTGAGGGGAATAACATTTTGGTGTGCCGTGGGTGAGTCATGGGTGTGCCGCAAGTAGAAAAAGGTTGCGGAACACTGGCCTAAACTGCTCGGCCAGTCTTATTTTTATCATTTTTCATGCTAAATTTTAATAAAACGAATATAATCACAAAATGTAATTTTTATTATATACGACAGATATTGGATAAATAATACATATTATATTTCCTTTATATTGAAAATAAAGAAATGTCCATGTACGTTGAGAAATTTCCCTAGCGGTAATCTTTTTGTTGACAAACAGCTGCAGTAACGTTAGTTAGTAAGCAGTACCGTTAGTCGGCTTATAATTTTAATTCTGTAAGTAAGTAATTAAGTAATATATAAATAAAATTTCTGTATAAAAAGTTCAAACTCATTTTATTATTTTAAAAATTAAACATTTAAATAAAACTATTTAATACTAATTGAATAATTAATGTTATTGTGCAATGCTCTTAATTAAAAAGACAAAATCTTTATTTTTTAGAGTAATTGGATATTAATTACTTCCAATTCGTCAGTAAATGATTTATGTTTATTGAAAAAAACCATTTTCATCATCTGAGAAATTGAAATAAACAATAATTAAAGGTAAGATTATATAAAATAAGAATGATTTTAAAATTGTGATTGTAAAATAACACAAAAAGTTTAAAATAATTTATGTAAAACAACTTACGATAAGGCTAAATATATTAAGGTCGTCCATATGGAGACGGCTCAGCTTGATGCTTTTCTCTATTTGTGGAGGCTTATCTCCTCTCCAGTTTCCAGTTTTTCCACAATGTGATGGGGGATGAAACTTCGCTCTGGTATTGGTTTGTCTGTCCGCAGTGTGGTTGGGAATGTTTGGCTCTGGAATCTTTTCTATGCTGTAGCCTGGCTATGTTGACTTTCTTGTCCTTGGTCTACTGGTTTATGCTTCGTGTCTCCCTGCTACTGTATTGAAGCATTAGAGACCTTTCTCTGCCAGGGAGATTGCTTCTTGTAACCGTTACTGGTAGCAATGTTGAAGGAAAAGACTACAGGCCAGAACCTCCGTACGAACAGTGAAGTGAAGTGAAGCTAAACATATTTCTTCTGTAATGGATACACAGTATTGACAGCACCATGTTAAAGTTATAGTATAACATGTTATAGTATACAGAAACTAAAAATCCAAGTATCTTGAGTTGGATCTTATTTTTAAAGGTGTTTGCCTCAAAGTTCTTTTCCTATTGTTAATTCCAATGAGATCGCTACTAAAGATACAGCGATTAATAATTTATCTAATATTAAATGCTGATCAATTTTAATGATTTTTTGGTAGTGAGAAATTAGACTTGATAAAAAATCAAATTGTAGATTTTATCCATAGAATATAAAACTGAGCAAGATTTAATTTGTTATTTACCATCACATCATGTTATGGATGTAAGCTATTTCTATTGTGAGTATAAAACTAAAATGAATCATGAATCCAAGCAGGGACTTCCCCAATCCCCAGCTCTTCTCCCCTCTTGAGAGGGGAGAAGAGCTGGGGATTTTTCTCTGGGTCCAGAAAAACTTTGGGGCTGTAGTGATTCCTACCCTTATAAACTTAATGTTATTTTTACTAACAGAAAATAAAATCTTTAAGATTTCATTTTGCTAATAAAGAAACATTCTACATATTTCATTTGTTAAAAAATAGTTAAAGGGTCCCACTATCCTGGGTCCCATATAACCTCTTGACAGTCCTGGATCCAAATGTGACCTTGTAAGAGATAAACCTCTGAAAAATTTGCCTTCTACAGTGTTGAATGACTGACAAAAAATCATTGAAAATATAAACTCAAAAAATTGGAACAATATCTTAAACCATTGTTAGAATTAATGTTAGTTTTTTATTAGAACTAACAGGTTGTGATGATGAAATTTAGACATTTCAATTTTTTCTAGAATTGACTGGAAAAAAATGATTATAGAATGTTTGAAGTATGTGTATATAAGTAACAAGGGGGCATTTCATCACATGTTTCATTGGAAATAGAAACATCAGCAATGTCTGACAAAATAAAATTTTTGAAAGAACACAATTGCATACTGTTGCTCAATCACTTCAAAAGTGATTGAGCAACAGTATGCTGTAATGCAATGAAGGATCACAATCTCATCTGCCAGGCATTTGATGAGGATACAGTCAACAGGCAGAACTACTACAATTGGTTCAAAAAAATTCAAGGATGGCTATTTCTTGTTTCACCCTGCCTGGAACCCATCCAGGCAGTGATCCACCATTGATGACGGTGTTTTCCTGTAACTGATAGATGATAATCTACAGTTGACCACTTAACCCTTGAAGTGGCTAGCAAATTGCCTTCCTAACTTGATATTTGAACTCTCATCGCCAAAACTGACCTTTGAAATGAAACAATGCAAAAATGCAAAAAGCAAAAATGAAACTGTTGTTATAAACATAAGGGTGGACAAACCACCCTTATGTTTATAACAACAGTTTCATTTTTCTTTTTTGTTACTTTCGCTCAGGTCATTTTAGATGAATTAATAATTAATCAACATTTACATTTTGTTGTAATTTTTATGTTCCATTTAATTAAAGTATCCTATACAACTGTTTGCTATTTAGAATTCAATAACATGTGATTTTTTTTTTACAGCTGTAAAGATAAATAATACACTGTATATTACATATAATAAAACATATAATAATAATAATAATAATAATAATAATAACTCTCCCGTGGTCACCACCTAGTCGTGGTGGGAGGGCCCAGTAATTTTACTGAACCATAGAGCAATGCAGGCTGGAGCACAAGCTCCTGGTAGGGACACCCATGCCAGTAAGGTCTATGGGGAGAAATGAAGCTAACAGTGACCATATCCACATTCTGTGGAGATAATTATTGTGGTAGTAACCAGATCAAAGTGTAATACTGGCTCAGACGTCGCCCAGGTTAACAAGGTCCGCGTTCGTGGGTTAGGCAGAGGCTCACGTTTGAAAAATAGGCCACAGTCTCCCTTGGTTACTGGTGGCAAAAGCAGCATCGGCCCAAGCATGGCTACTGCAATGCCCTCAACAGATGTGAGGAATCAACCTAGCCTTGGTGTTTCTGTGGCAATACATCCACAGACCACAAAGGCTGGAAAACCACGCCAACAGATGAAATGGACAACAGAAATGAACGAGTTTATCATCCG